ACGTTCAGCCGCTGAAGGGAAGGGCAAGGCCCCCCACCCCCCAAGGGCCTTCCTGTGGCTCAGGCCTGTGCTCGGTATGTTGTATTTGAGCAGAATCCATGACTTGAAGGGGGGGGGGTTGGTTTCTGCTTCACTCTCGTCTCTTCTTTCACAAACTGGCTGCTTGGCATGAAGCTGGAACAAAGAAAGCACCTTGTTTGATCGGAGCAAAAGGTTTCTGTGTTCTCACAAAAATTTGGCAGGGGAAGGTCCCAGAGGTTCAGGGACATTCCCCCCCCCCCAATGACTTCTCTCAAACTGGGGGGTGGGGGACATATTGGAGAAAAGAGAAAATGGAAGTAGCCAGGAGTCCACTTCCAGGATTGCAAAAATGCTGCAGTAGGACCACCATCTCCACCAGTTCCAGGCCACCACCTCAGTTGGAAGGGATCCTGAAATACACAGTATTGAATGCTATGCAGTGCATGTTATCTGCCTCCCTCTAGTAGTCAGTTCTGATAAATAGCCCCTGAAAAAGTATCATTGGGTATTTGGCGGGGGGGGGGTTGTATTTTTAGTCAGCGGATAAGTGAATCAGCAGATACTGATCCAGCAGATAGGGTGTTCTACTGTTTTGTAACAAACCGTTTCAGTTAAGTGAAAGGTGCTAGTAATGCGTCCCTTTCTTGATGGATAGATCCTGATTATCGTATCAACATGAGCTCCCCCAAATTCCTCTAATCTTCCTTTAGCCCTCAGGCAGGAAGTGGTGCTTCCCCAGAGTTACGCTGAGTTGCAGAAGCCACGTAGCCACGTAGAGACCTGGGTCGTAGGGACAGGCTGCAACATCCCAGCAGTAAACAACTCTCCTTCTCTCCCCACCCCCACCCCGTTTCAGCCACAATGGAGGGGGTGCTGGTTGTCAGTAGGAAATAAAATGGCCATCAACATCTGCAGCTGCTTTGCAAGAGAGGATGTTTCAATGCAAGGCTTGGGAAGCAAAGAAATGTTCTGTGGTGCAGAGAGTCAGACTGGGCGTACTCCAGTTATCCGCTGGAGTGGTTGAGAGGGGGCTTAAGCTCAAAAAGGGACAGGAGGGGTCCACGCTGCATTGTTCCTGGTGTGAACTCAAACCATCAGTCCTTAGGAAACCCCACTGGGGTCAGGAAACATCCCACAACTCAAGGCAGGCGTGGCTTTTCCCATGTGGATGCTGGTTAAAGCCACCCACAGAGGAGGTAGCCACTAAACACCGTGTGGGTGGTGCAGTGGGCTCAGGGGCGGGGGGGGGAAACAACCCCCGGTTTGTGCTTCCTCCTCATCTGCCCAGGCCTCAGGAACAACCTGGGGTGGGGGGTAGCGGAGGTGAAAGAAAGAGGCAGGAAGGCAGGGGGCAAGGATTCTTGCTGACCTCTGCCGTGGTGACTCCTCTCCCGCAGACCAAGTATGACTTCACCTCGTGCCGAGGGGTGCTGATCGTCTGCTTGATGGTCCTGTTCATCTTTGCCATCCTTTGCATCTTCATCCGGAACCGCATCATGCAGATTGTCTACGCCTCCCTCGGAGCCCTCCTCTTCACCTGTGTGAGTGCCCTGGGAGGTGGATTTTTGCAATTGGGAAGGGAGGGAGACAGGCAGGGGGGAGCCCTTCCCTCTTGCCCATCTGTGGGGGAGCCAGCCAGCAACTGCCTGGCTGTCCCGGCGCTTTCTTCCTGGAAGGCTGCAGAAGGGCCACTTTCCTTGCAAGAGGGGGTGGGTCTTGGCTTGGCCCAACAGTGGCATGTTCTGCTTCCCCCCACCCGTGCTCTTTTTGGGGAACCTTTTGTCCTCCTGGGCACCTCCTGGCAGAAGAGTGGCAGGGGTTCTGCTGACCCAGATGTGCCTGCCTGCCCGACAGCCACCAGCGGGTGAAATTTGCCGGATCCCCGGTGGGGGTGTCGAGCAGGGAGGGAGCTGACCCTCTTCTTGCCTGCTTCTCCTTTGCAGTTCCTGGCTGTGGACACCCAGATGATCCTTGGGAACAAGCAGCTGGCCATCAGCCCCGAGGAGTACGTCTTTGCCGCCCTCAACCTCTACACAGACATTATCAACATCTTCCTCTACATCCTGGCCATTATCGGTCGTGCCAAGGAGTAGCAGGCGGCCCTCCTGCCCGCCCCATTGGGGGGGGGTGTTTGCGAGCCCCCTCTTAAGGTTGTCTTAGTCATTGTGCTCCTCCCCCCCTCCTTATTTGCCCCCAGGCATCCAGGAATCCTCTCCTTCCTTTGGCTTTGGTTTGGTCTGGTTTTGTTTTTTTGGGGGGGGGGTTCTATCCATTCTCCTCCCTTGGGAATGAGTTCTCCTTCTCTTGGGGCTCGGCTTCTCTGCCTGGAAGGAAGGGGTTCAGTTTAGCCCACGCTTGTGGGAAGGGGTTGCTCTGTCAAATTTATTTTGAGAAAAAGACTTCTGTCTGGCTTGTCCTGGGGTCGGGGGGGGG